AGTTTCATAAATTAAACATTCAAAACTAGCACCGCCGGTGCACAACACAGTGGCGCTGAGTCGCCCGGCGGGCAGGCCGACCCGCCGCGCTCGCACGCGATCGTGGCGGCCTACGCTCCGCTCCGCGGGCGCGCGTCCGGCCGGCTGTCGTCGTCTATTGGCGCCCGCGTGTCGCCCGAACGATAGGCAGCCCGCTCGTCACGGCGCGAGGCTGCTCGGCTAGCCTGATGGCCTGCGTGTGCAAGGACGTCCGAGATGGCGGGGGACACCCGCAAAAAGAAGCACCGGCTGCTAGGACTAAGCATCCTTTTGTAAGTACGTCAGAGGATAATAGCTCACTCGGAATGGCTGTGTACACGCACATGTGATGATGGCACCCAGGTGACAAAGAGAAGCGGATTGTGCCGCGACAAACACAATTTATTTACATGATCTGGTCACAACAAATACTTTTGGTTAGTAATAAAATGACTAAAAAATGTACAGACGCGTATGACAACGCGATAATAATTTATTAATTTAACAATGACTAGTTTGCCGATCTTTTCCTATTTCCTATAAAATACTGTTCATCACGGAGTTCTTTCATATCCTGTAGAATTAAATCGTACAACACTGGTGCGCGAGTCGGGTTCAAAACGAAATCGAAGTGTCCAAACACTTTATCGGGCATCTCGAAAGCTCTCCTGAAGTTTTTGAACGACGTGTGCAGCTGATTAATCGCCTGCGAACAGCGCAACAAAATATGTTATGGAGACTTATCGGTCGTAAATAAATTGATACGATACTGCATAAGAAGGGTCAAGCGTTGCACATGGTCTGTTCGTGTGCCTGCTCCATACCTGAGGTGGTGTCCAAACGTCGGTCTTCCCCGTGTAAACATAGACGGGTGTGCGACTTTTTGTCAGGTCGTAGTCTGGTGGGACGTCTTGACCGTAGATCTCACGATTTTTTCGCCTTCCATAATTGTACTTACGGAAGCCGGTCCCTGATCGAAAAGGCAAAATGTAACTGTTACGATCATGTTTCCGAAAGGTGCCCTTGAAGCAGCCTTTCAAGTGCACAAATATCTAGGTTTTCTTAGTAAATTGATACAAAGAGTCATGTGGTTACTTACAGCCCGGATTCGACAGCTGAGCATAATGGTTCACTTCTCCCATGGAGATTCCAGAAGGGGCGTAGTATTGCAGATCAACGGGGTACACCTGAAGTTGATAAGATTGATTTTACTGTTCTATTTGGACGCACACCATGCCGTTACGGTTTGCTCAGTTGGTCGAGTGAACAACGACTTACCACATAGCCTGCCCCTCCCATCATATCCCCGACGGCTCTTAGGAGCGGGCACCGCTTGTTTGGCTCATTTTGTGCAAGTGAAGGCACATTAAACCTGCAGAACATTCCACCCAGGTATCGTATCATGAAGTCGGAGCCGGGAAACTGCAGAGGTAGGGCTTTCTGAAACCAAAGTGTAAACGCATGAAAAAATTAACAATCGACTAGTGATTCAACGATTGGTTTCTGGCATTTCTCTAAATAACATTACAGCAGTTGAGTTCTCTATACTGTGCACCGTCTTGAGCAGAGCAGAGTTGTTGTGGTGCGACAGGTCGCCCACGGGACCCATTAGGAAGGCCCCGTTGATGAGCTTGTCGTACTCCGGGCGCACGGCCGCCGTTACCAGGAACGCCGTGGAGCCCATCGAGTGGCCTATGAAGGTGAGCGATGGCTCCCTTGTCACACCCAAGATGTAGTCTACCATGGCAGGCAAATCCATTGACCCGTGCTCGTGGAACCTAGACGCATGAGCTTGCGGTTTACATGCAGGCGGGAGGCAACGTGAAAAGAAATGCAAAAGAGTGGAGCAGAAACGAACCCAAAGTTCCAGAACTCGCGCTGGGATGGTTTCAGGTACTTGTGTTTGAGGGATAATCCGCTTCCTCTCCAATTCCCCAACCACACATCGTACCCTGCATCGTACAGCCGTGATGCTAGAAAACACAAACAAAATAATTGACTCACGACTTTAAAAAAACATGAAGTGAACGAGAGTGTCAACAAAAGTCTACACGGACTCACCGATGGAGTCCCTCCCGAGAGCGACGAAGCAGGCCGAGCTGCAGCTGAGGACGTTTCCCAGGAAAGCGACAGGGGATCCCGGGCGAGGTATTCTATCCATGCGAAGGGTGTAGCCGTCTTCGGTCGTGACGTAGTGTCCTTCAGCCGGAAGGCCCAGCTTGCTGATGAGGTCAGTCTATAGAATTCGACTAGAAGTTGAAACACATGGGGACACCAAATTGACCGCACCTACATAAACCCCCCCCTCCCCTTTTCCCTATCATTTTTGCAGTCAGGCCACGAATAATCCCATAACCGTGTAAAATCTGGTAGAGCAATTTGGAAAAAGAATGAGTACAACGAACATGTTTTATCAATTCGCACCACAAAATGTTGGACTATACCACGACTGAAAAAAATTGTTATCTTTTTTCCCCCGTAGCAACATTAGTACTTACGGTCGGTCTTAAATGGGCGAGTTCTTTCGGGATATTTTCAGTCTTTGGAGCCATTCCTGCAACGGGGGTATCTCGCGTAGCCTGTCAAAAAGAAGTTAAATGTTCACTGGAATTAGAGACTCGACAACAGCAATAACTGTAACAGCGGCTTCATCTATCAAAGTGCTTCAACATACCCGACGTAACAAGTTGCTGAGTACGTTCGTTAAGGCGATACTGTATGCTGGAGGTAAAGCCTGTTAAACAGCAATAAACAGAAACACTTTTGGAATATTTTATCAGCAACAGTACAGAGACTCTTGAAAGAGAGGGTTGGGTATAGAATCGTTTTATGGTTAATTACGTCGAAATGGCTTCAGAACTTGTGCAAAAATTACGACGGGTGGTTTTTATGTACCAGCTAGGTGGGCCAGCAAAAATCCCGGTTTACCGAGGAATAGGTCGTGGTCTGAATTTGTTTTGGCACAACGCCAATCCAGTCGCCAAAAGGTTTCGATGCGGGCAGGCCCACGTGAACTCACGCGTGAACTCATGCGCCAGCTGTGAGTTTCGCTCTAGATAGTTCCTCCTTTATTTTGCTGATACTGTACCGGATGCAGGCGTGCGGGCGGGTTGCATTCTCACACGGGGCCACAAGGCGCCGTGCGGAGCGACGGTACGCAGGCCCGCCCGCACGCCTGCATGCGGTACAGTATAAGCAAAATGATGGAAGGGGTCTACATGAACCACCCTTCATAAATGAATTTGTTGGTACCCGATAGCAATTTTGTTGTTACCGCACCCACCGTTGCTTAAAATTACATATAGCAATAAACAAAAAGCTCGGTAAGGGATTGAGGGTGCGGGGTAAACCCTTCCGTACCGGCAGGAGCACCAAACACCCGCGGTATTTATTGAACATTCGCAGAGTATGTACCTCAGTATGTCCCACAAAGAAAGTGTTTGTGATTTTTGTACACACTAAATGTATTTGTATATTTTGGTTTCGTTTCGTTCAAATTTGTGCGCTAAAATGCACGATTTCGAACAAATGAATGCACTACTAATTATTCAAAATTAACGCAGAAATGCGTGCAAAAACAAATCCAGTTAGCATGTACATTTTTAAGTATTTGATTTTCTTGACTGGACATTGCGCATGTGTTTAGGGTATTTTACTCAAACCAATAGCATAGCAATGCACTCCAGAAAATCAAGTACACACAATGTTCTCACAACAAGAACACATAGGGGGCTGTAGTTGCGTAACCGCTGCGGGTGGACGCGCGGCCGCGGTCTGAAACTTTCAGATTCCAACCCTTATTTTGCCATTTGAACTTAAGCCTCTGGATATGCTTGCTACACACTTTTTTTCAAGACGACATTTGACACGCACTGTTTTGGTCAGCTCTTTGGAGGTTCAAACCTTCCAGTTATCTTTGGACCCACCTCGCTGCCGGTTACAAGGAGAAAGACGACCGCCCAGCGCATGTTGAAGCAAAGCGGACGCATCGAGAGACAGAGAAGTGCCCAGCACTTCCGAACGTCTGATCCCTTCCTCGAACTTGAATGAAGCTGCCCTGCTTCGAGGGATCCGCGGAGAGCGGCAGGCCGAGGCGAGGCGGAAGAAGGGGCGGATCACATCCGATCCGAATCACGGCGCTCCTCTGCCCGAAATGCGTCAGATATCCAGCTTGTCGACTTCATAAATAGCCCCCCACCTAGCTCAGCGGGAGATACAACAGGTGATCCCTCGCAGTGGATCAAAGTAACGGAGACTGAGACGCCGACGACAACTCGTCGCTCCGCAGAGCGCGCTCGCCGACTTGTCCCCACGGACTCAACATAATAGCGACCGACACGTCCGGGAGGAGGAACGACGCCCCGCCCAGCCGTTCCCATGCTCCGCCGCCGCCGTCGCCGGTCAGCAGAAGATTGTCAAAATACTAGGTGAAATAAATTCCGGTTATGTTTCCGGCCGGAATCGGTTACGATTTACGACCGTTATCCCCATGTTCCGGTCGGAGTTGAAGTTTTCGACCGGAGTCAAGCATTTTCCGGTCAGCGGGCCTCCGCGGTTTACGGTCGGAATCGATCCGGTGAACGGCTGGAGCCAATCTTTCCGGCCATACGTTTTTGGGGCAACCGCGTAATTGACTTGTAATAACGCCTAAACTTAAAAGTCTCGGGGGAGGATCGCTTCGTTGTGTTACATGTTGAGAACAAACAGAACTTATCCACGAGATTAACAAAAAAATGCTGTATGACAAGCTGGCCACCGAATCTTAACTTTGTGCTAAATGGGCGTCATTTTGAAAAAGAAAATCCGTTAGGCAGAGGGGGTGGGTACACTAAGCTCTAAAGAATCCAATGACTGCCCCATTGCGCGCGGGGGGGGGGGAGGGAGAGAGAGAGAGAGAGAGAGAGAGAGAGAGAGAGGGGGGGGGGTAAATGTACTCCAAACGGTCCTCCTACGTCAGCGTGCCCTCGATAGTTCCCAAACCGACAGCAGTGAATGCGCTCCAGATCTTTGATCGCGATCAACTGCGTAGCTTTAGTGGCTTGGATAGATCCACCACATTCTTGACACCCTCCCCCCTCCTCCTCCACCAACACCACCACCGACAAAAAGAAAGAAAGAAAAACACAGTCGCCATGTATAAATACAACTTAAGGTTGTGACCACGATTACTCCGGTGATGAATGATGGAGACAATATGCACAAATCTTTCACGTGCACAGCTCAATTCACTGTTATATTCATATAGATCGCGCCTTGCAATTTGTGAAGGAATCGGGGGATTTGCACTTGGCGACTATACCTTTCTGCACTGCAAATAATGCCTCGCGGAAAGTTGCAAGGAATGCATATCATATTCTAAGGGATTCAGCAGTGCCGTATTAGATCACCTGACTAGATTTCGCTCAACGGAAGAAGAACAGCGGGTAGAACATTAACGTTACCGATTGGTCGAAAGCTTCCCGCCTCTACGTCACGCCGGTAGTGGGGGTAGGCGCTCGGCCAATCAGGAACCTTTATGTTCTACCCGCTATTCTTCTTCCTCCGTTAGTCGAAATACACTACCCCTACCAACAGAGATTGGTCACAGAACGTCAAAATGATAAAAATTCGCATCACTATGACGTCTTTTTAGATCCTAAAACGTCATTCTCACATCACTAATACGTCAATCTGACGTTTTGTGACAAATCTCTGTTGGTAGGGACTGTGAGCCGCCTGCTCCCGCTGACAGGTGCTGGTGTGCCGCTCCAGTCGAGTGGGGATCCCCCAGGGTAGGGTCAGTGTCTCCCGTTTGGGGAGAGCTCTAGCCAAACACAGTTCGAACCGATACCCCAAGGATAAATGGTAGGAAGGCTCTGGGAAGTTATTTTGGGGTCATTGGCGCCGATTTGACGTCACAAAAATGTCGTCCCTCGCGCCAAAGCGGTGACTAATGAATGAGACGTCACGTGACGTCACGTGGGTCACGCGTGTCTAACATCTTACATGCGTCCTGGCGCTCCTGGAGAGAATGTCTTTTGGGGCAATCGCCCCCCCCCCTCCCCCATCGTCTCTAGTGAGCCGCCTGAAAGGTAGTCAATTTGTGGTACAAAACCCCTGTATATAGGCAACCCACTGTGCATCCGCCCACCCCGCTGTCGCCGCCTCCTTATACCGCTCCTGGTGAATGGTATGGTTGTCACACACTTTTCTATGCATGACACATTGGTAACACACTCATGTGTGACATTTTGGGACGCACCTTAAAGTGTTTGAATGACACATACTTTCTATTTGTAAAGCCGAACGTTCATAACATGTTTTATATTATGGATATACATACAATCCATAATGCAAATTGGATACTTCAGTAAAGAAAAACATGTTTTCACGAATTTTGCAGACATTCTAGGGCTTCTTTGAGAAACCCATAAATGTCAATTTTAGTCCAACAAGTATTCAAATTTCCAGTTCATCACCTGCAGCTTGTTGTTGAACACTTGAGATGTCACTCAACAATCAAAGCTTTCTTTAGGCCAAAGCTCAAAGGCAACCCATTTGACCTGCAGTGCTTACAGTTTTTGAGCGAAAGATGACCAAAAGTGCGTGTTTTTATTTGGAGGAGCCTTTATATGTAATACTTGCAGGGTAGAAATCCTACAAATGACAAAAATCAGAAGCTGTTTCAAAATAGTACTACTGACATACAATTCAGAATTAAATGTTCAAAAGAGTAAGACAATAGGTACGTAAGCTTACTTTTCTAAAGATTTTGAGGCAAAATGTAAGGGGTTGAGACTGCAGTATCATCAGTATGACAAAAACTTTATGCTATCTGCATGTGTGATCTTTATTTCATAGGAATCCTTAAGCAGAAAAACACTGGTTAAGAAATTAACAAGTAAAATAACAACAAAATAAGTTCAATAACATTAAAAATTACAACACCCCCATATATACATTAGAAAGGAGAAACACATTTATGAAAGTTTGGACACAACCTTATCCATAAAAATATAGTATCAATAGATACTATTACTATTGAAAATCTGATAGTGATGATAACAAAACTAATAAGAGTAATAATAAATATAATAATACTGTTGGTGTGATATATTCCGCGTCCAGAATGTAATCTGTCAGCTGTAACATAAGCTGCTGAGCGTAAGTGTGCTCATTCTGTATCTGGCTACTTTTCTACTGGTGGTGCTCGAACACAACAGTCTTATGCTTCATGCCAGCCTATTTATTTCATCTGTAACAATCCACAATGGTTTAGATCTACATACATGAGAAAAATATCTAAAGCTGAAAAACAAAAGGAGCTCATGGCTCATGCTCCTGGCATAGTATAGCACCTGTGTTGGGCAAATTGGCTGAGTTCAAACTATTCTAAAAAGGATTATACTGTAAAAAACTATCTCACAAAGCCAAGTTTCAGGTCCAAAAAGTTTGCGTAACAGGTTGCTTCCAACCTAACAGACACAACTAGCTTGGCTGAGAGAAGTAACAAATTTAATTTAGTTTTTTTTTTTTTTAATAGTTGATGTCTGAAATAACCATCAATAGACGTCAACTGATCTTTGTTACATTGAGTTCAATTTTAAATGTATTCAATTTTAAAGATTGTAAATGTAGTTTTATTAATATGTAATTTTATTCTGACAAATTATGACACTTTAGAGGCCGTTTGTGGAATAACTTCATTTTCCCTTTTTATAGGGTCCCTGAACTTCACAACAATGCAGAACAGTGATAAATAGACTATTCAGTTCACATCAAGTTTTTTTTTAATGCCTGGGAGATGCGATCTCTAGCATAGCAAATGGTAAAAACTTTAAATTAAAAGAATGGTCACTTACCCGAGGCGAGATTTGTTGCATTCTTCTCAAGCAATCGATTTCACTAAGGAGCTTTGCTGCATTGTTTTCATAATTATGAGCCAGTGCAGTGACTTGCAATAACATTTCATTTTCATATTCCTCCCTTATTTTCGTTTCAAACTCCTCTTTTAACTTTAAAATTTCTTCTGTTTTTACCCTCACTATTTCTGTAATCAAATTTATTTCTTGCGAATTGTTATTGACTACTTCAGTAGCAGCTTCTAGTTTCATTTGAAGCACTCGTTTGTCAGCTTCACTATTTTTTAAATCATTTTGCAGCTTAAAAATCGAATGGCATGCATTGTCGTACTCATTCTGTAGCACTTGTTTTTCAGCTTCACTACTTTTTAAGTCATTTTGCAGCTTGTATATGGAATGGCATGCGCTGTCGTACTCATTCTGTAGAGAGTCATGCTTAATTTTCAAATCACAATGTTCCATTTTTAATATTTCATGTTCCAATATTTTTTCATGGGTGTGTACACATTTGAGACATTGCACGGTGGGATTTTTTTCAAAGCACTCTTTGAAGGTTTCAATATCATTCCTATCAATAGAATCAGCCCTGATGCAAGCAGCATCTTGAACATTCTTTTCATGGCAGTTTAGTTGAAGACTGTCACAATATTCATCAAGAGAAACAGCTCTTGACGCAGTTCCTTGAGTAACAGTTTGTTTCGCTTTACAATCCACGGCTCCTTTGCTGCTATGTTTTAATCCTGGCAGAGTATTGACACATTCCCTCATTGAGATTTCTTGAAGCTGAAAACTGTCAAAGTCTTCGGCAGTCAGAGTAGAGTTTTCAAAATTATTATCCTGGGGTAAGTCGATAGCAGATCCCATATTTAGAGAAGGAGCCCAGTCTACACTATCCTCCTCATGATACGCCGATGGTGCACCTAGAGAAATAGAAATAAAAATTATCAGTGGTACAAAACGTAACCATACAGTAGGAAAAAATAACAATGACAAGAGATGCAACTATAAACATAATGCAACAATAACCTGAGACAAAATGATCACTACAAACGAAGTCACCATATTTTAAATCATTTCTGTTTATTCTGATGAGCCAAAGTTTTTGACGTTTCAGTGTACGTCGAAGGTACACTTCGCCAAAGTTTCGTACCACTTTGGGTATTTGGAAAAATCTCTTCCCGATGGAAGGTTTACTGTGTCGCGTACTGGAACAGTTTGTGACACAGCACTTTCCCGGCCTTCCCATATTCAAAATATAAAATGTACAGAATTATTTTGAATTTAACGACATGACAACGGCTGCGGCAGGTGGCGCATTTCTTCGTCGCTAAAACTGTTCTAACGAGAGACTGTAAACCACGGTACTGGGGTACTCAGGCCTTGGCGAAAGGAGGCCGGGGCATGTGCTATGTGCTACATGCGAGCGAAGAATGTAAACAAACGGGTCACCTGCGAATAGCGAAGGATCGTGGGAATAAGCGGCTTTCTTTTTCAGCGCCGGATTTCAAATCTCCAAATCTCCCTCTCTTAGTGATCGGTGGTTCGAATCTTCCTGTTTGTAGATACACAGTTGTAGCTACAACAAACACGGCCACAGGCAGATGAACCGAATGTGGAAATAAGTCCGCTCGGCATCGTAAATGATCCCCTCTGCCCCCACCCGGACAAAAATAAAAAATAAAATAAAAATGGAGGAGTACTTTCCTTATCCCACCGCAGTTTTTTGGCTTGGAACGGGATCAGTCGCTTCCAACCACAGTGGTCAGAACATCCCGGGGGTACTGCAACGGTTGACGCGTACGTTGGTTCCGCCGCCGCCACCATAGCACGGTGCCAGGGAAAGGGAACCGCTTACACCCCCGCTTTTCGTGCAAGACGGAACCCAGCGAAGGAACTCCCACGGCCCGCTATCGCCGTGAGTCGAACCCCGGTCTTTGTCTTGGGGACAATCGTCCAAAGATTTGAAAATGATTTTCTAAATATTGTGTCTATTAGAAAAGCGTATAAGTATCGTTCTACGTTATGACCAAAAACTCGGCAAAAACCTGTGGTGACGCACGGAGAGGTGCCGTAGTTTTGCCCAACCGATTTATCTGGCTGAAAATCGGGCTCCAATGCGGTTTTGCGAGTGAACAAGTTCTTCCGGCTCATTCACGTCCATTCTCTGTGTGGACGTAACACTTTATTGCCATCAACTGCCACTCCGTGTCACTGCTGCAGCGCCTCCCCGTCACCCAGTCGCCATCACGTACAGCGAGTCATGAGTCATGAATGCACCCGTCCTGGCTCTGCTCGTCGCCGCTCTGGTCGCGCTGGGGTCGGTCGGGGTCGGGGTGGTCGAGGGTCGCCTGGTAACTACTTTACAACACCGGTAGTTTTATGTCCAGCCTCCTATCACCGCTATCGCCACCCTTTCTTCCCCTTGCCCTCTGGTGTTCTATTGTCGCAGAGTCGCGGAAGGGCTAAGAAGATAAAGTTGATCCCGAAGTACTACGCCATACGCCACTGTGACAACAGGCCTTGCGGCATGCGCGTGTTCAACGTGACAAAACACTTGGACCGGGATGGGGTCGAGTACGTGGACGGTGAGCTGGAGATGTTCAAACAGCTGAACGTCATAAAAACGGTACGGAAATTACGTTACAAAGGGTCCCAATATGAGCTCCATTAGCTAATTCTCAAATAAAAGAGCTAACAGGTAGTTCCCTTTTGTTCTAGACAAATGTTATGGCTATTTTTTTTCTTAGCCAATGTTTAAGCTCTCTTAGCTAATTTTTAGCTCTCTTAGCTAAATTTTAGCTCTCTTCGCTAATATAATTAGCTAGGCGAGCTAATATTCTGGTCCAATACCACATTATCAAATGCATTAGCTAATTTACCTAATTCCTTCTTTTTATCGAGCGGGGGTAACAAAAAAACAAACGGCTGCAGCTCACTTTGGTCGTCCACCGCTGCACCGGCGGCATGGCCCCCAACCAGTGCGAGTACTTCAACCGCTGGAGCTGGTCCGCCGGGATCTGCGCGCTCATCTCGGCGAAGGGCATGCCCTGGTCGCCGGCCTTCAACAGCATGACGCCGGCCTTCAAGTGCCCCGTGACGGTGGTCTGTGTGAATCGGGTATAGTGGAGGGTGTCCCTTCCAAGGCGGGACTTTCGCGGCATCATGTCCAGCCAAACTGTGCCGAGTCCAGATATCCAGCCAGTAACAGTTGTTGTACGCAGCGGAGCATAAATATGAATTAAATTTCGTGGCGCGAAAGTCCCACACCTTGAATGCGACACCCTGCAGTAGCGGTGGGGCGCTACGACAGACTGTCTCACACTCGTTTTGCTCCAGGGGCTGAGGCACGTACGCAACGCTTCGCTCGACCTGGACGCCCTGGTGCAATGGGACGCGTCCATGACGCTGGACAAGCATATATGGCCCTTCGAGCTCCAGCTCCACAACGAAGCGGACAAGCTGGCGTTCTGCGTTCAAGGAATAGTCGAATACCATCGGATTCTGATCAAAAGGGATAGCGCTTCATGACATAACGCGTAAACTAGACGGCAGAGGGCCAAACTAGAAGAAACGGAGAAGTTTTATCAATAAATGGTATTATGTTGGTAGCGCGTGACGAGCATTGATTCTTGTTTGATAAACCTTCGGCGGCGACACCGGCTGCCAGTCTCGAGCATGCCGCGACCGACAACCTTTGTTCTGTGGGCCCTCGTGGCCCTGGGGCTGGGGGCCGGCGCCGCGGCGCCGCGCGCGGACGGGGACTACGGCGACGGTGACGTCCAGCGGGCGGTAAGGAAGGGTGCCCCGGGCCTCGGGCGGGCAGGCAGTGTTCGTCTACAGCGACAATATCGAAGTAAAATGCCGATTTCACGCCGAATAGCCGTGGCGTGCACAAACGAGCTGCACCGCACCTCGCTGTTAAATTATTATTCTTGTTTGATGCATAGTGTTTTTGGTAGTGTGTTTCGACCCAACGAGTAGTTGGATCGTTTATATGTTGCACGAACTCGTAAAACAGTGCAGTTTAATAGATGACTTGTCGCTGGCGTGAATCAGGCATATATTGTTTGAAGCGAGGTCAGCCAACACAGCTGTGCAGTGCTCTCCCACTCAGTTATGGCAGTGAACTCCTTGTTCCGTTCAGATACTGTTCTATTTCCGACGCGCCGTTTTCACAAAATCCTATCTAAGGCACGTCGATTTTCAAAGTAAAAAATGAAGGAGAAACGAAAAACGGGGGGGG